CCCCCCCCTTTAAAAATTGTCCCCCAGTGCAACCCCTAATGGAGAGGCCGGGGGCCCAGTGCCACTGTGGTCTGCAAAGCTGAGGTATATGCACATTCCTATAATTTTCTTCTTCTTTTTTTTTCTCTTTCAGTCACATCTGCGTTTTGTTTTCTCTCATTTCAAATGTTTCCCAACACATCATGTTTAGTGAGGTGTTTAAGACAGACTGAGAGATGCCGTTGGAGGCAATGTTTTACAGCACAGTTTGTACACTAGTTTATTGCCAAATTAAAATAAAGATGTAATCTGGCAGACTCAGCCTGCTGCTAAGCCTTCCTTGGGTGGTTTCCTGCACTGAGGCAAGCAAGTGAGGGGAAACTAGCAAGGAAGTGAAGAACTCTCTCTGCTTTCCGGTGCCGGCTCCATTTCCAAATGCAAAGAAACAAACAAACAAACAACCAAATGTACAGAATGTTTGCTTTGCCGACTGCTTAATTATGGAAATAAAAAAGATAATAAATAAATAAAGGAGAGCAAGATCTTGGTGGTCCTGTACTAAATGCTATGCATTCTTTGTTGTGCCCATTGTGACTGACTGCTATTTTGTAAGAATTCTTAGTAGTGTGACATTATGGGACCAGTATCCCTCTGTCCATTTGACAAAATTTCCATAGTATCTATTATGTTTACATTTCTGGAGATTTCAGGGCTTTCCAAAGGCACACCTTCACAAAGACCCAGTAGAAGCCAAGGAGGCTAACTCCTTTGTCTATACTGCATTAGGCCTCCGGACAGGGCTCCCTAAGTAGCCAGGGTACTTCAGGACCTTAAAGGGAAAAAAAGGTACTGCTTTCTGCTTCAGTCATTCCTGTGGTGTTTGGAAAGCTGCATGCTCATTCAAGAAAGCTTTCACCTCTTGGCAACCATCTAGACATTGAGTATCATAGTCAGATTTCTCTCAGAAAAAAAAAAAAAAAAGACTGAAACATCAGAAGGCCTGATTTTATGAATTCTGAGGGCCTTGGTCCATACACATTTGTCTGTGATGAAAAGCTATTTTTAAGAAAATAAATCTGATTTCCTATGGAATTGGTGGCCAGTAAAACTCTCTCTTGGGCCAGAAAGGACAACAGGCTCAACAAAACACTTTGGGTCCTTTAAAATGCGCACATCAAAAAACCTCCTCTCGGTACTGAGGCACACAAGATGAAATGCAGACAGAGCAGAACACCGCAGCTCATATGGGCTGTGTCCTGCAAGCCAGGGCTCCAGACTCTGTCCTCAGGGCCTTAAAAGTCTCCTGTACTGAAGGAGAGAAAAGGCAAAGGCAGGGAAGTAAGGGGAAAATAAGGGTGGCGAAAGAGGGAGAGTATGTATTCAAAAGAGGGAGGGCACGTCTGAGAAGACAATGGGGGCAGGAGACCAGGAAGAGGGGGGAGAGGAGGACTCTGTTCATGGGTGAGTTCTCAAGGAGTGGCCACCTGAAGAAGATTCTTTCAAAGGGAAAGCACCTTTTACTTGAGTATTCTGTTCACCATAGGCTGGCGTAGAAAAGCATCCAGCAGCGCGAGGACCAGCAATGAGACTAAGATCTTCACGGGGAGTTCTGCCGCAGTAGCAATAGTAGTTGTCACAGAAAAACTGATGAGCAATCCTTACATGAAAGAAGAAATGTTCCCTTTTCCTGGGCAAATATAGTCATTGGCCTGCTGACACCAGCACAGGGCTCTCCTTGGTGCTCAGTGCAGCATCTCATCAGTGTTAAAAGCTCCATGATTCATGGGTGTTTGCTGGCTATTATTTTCATATCACTGACCCACCTGAGTGGCCACACACCCTTTCCACTTGACTTCCAGCCAACCTCATTGGCCAATGGCTCATCTTATGGCTGCAGCCCACTTGCCTCCCAGCAAATGCCCCACTCCTCATTCTGTGACTTAAGCCCTAAGATATGGAGTACTCTATCCCCGACTCATCTTAGAAGGCTATCTACAATTTTTTTTTTCTAGGATGATTTCTCCTTCACTCTCTCTAGGAAAAACAGAGAGCTCAACAGTAAGGTTGGTATCTTTCTGCCTAACTGCTAATCTCTAGATGTCATAATCAAGGATGAGAATGCTACCAAATTTCATATAAGCCTTTATTCCATTCACTGAACTTTGACACGTGATACCAATGAGTGGTTTTTCTCTTTGGGGGAAATTGATTAACTTCTCATAGTTTTGGTTTGTTAGCTACATACCAGCAAAGACTGTTAAGGCTCCTTCCAGCTCTAAAGTGACAGAATTCATTTGGTCCATGGTCACAGAAGGTATTTTTGGTCCAGACCAGGACTACTGCCATATAATCCTAACCGGTCTTCTTGCTTTTGACCTCATATTATCCCAGTCCATCCTAACTTTGCTACCAGAATAACCTTCGTAGTGTATACCTCTGAAGACACCATCACACTGGCCAAATTTTTCAAAAGGGTCCTAATTATGAAAACAAAACTTATTTTGCCTAGGAGTCAGGCAGTCAAAACAGCAAAAAGCAGTCAAGATCAGATTCCAAAAATATATACAGAATTAACTTTACTAAATTTCAGTTTCGGTCAAATGGACGCATTCTCAACCCTGTGAACACTGTTTTTCTAACTTTATATTATTGCTTAGGACATTCTTCTTGTGTACAGTGTGGTCCTCCAAACAGAAATATGACATATATTCTTTAAGGTCAAGGTGAAATCATTTCATAAGATCTCTATCTCCTGAACTTTGGGCTGCCAATTTCATATAATCCATCCAGCTACTTCAACTGGGTATCTGTTATGTGTGAATGAGGGTACTGCCTTTTTGGCTTCTCTTAGGCTGTTAGTGAACTCATGTACATTTATCTTCTCTCCCCGCATGGACTGAATGCTCCTTGATAAACTGATTTAGACCAACACTGCACCATGAGGAGCATCTACAACAGAGCTGGAGTCTAATGTATTTTTGTCCATCTCATTGGAAGTGCACCTGCAAGCATACTTATTTGTGTAAACACGTGTTAAGGCAAAGACCAACACCAAGTACCATTCACCAAGTACTGTGGCTGAGTTGGGGCCACAACTCAGATGTCCACACTCCTCCAGGGTTGTTCACTCGGCCACAGTGGCTGTGGGAGGCCCTGTTTGAAGTGCTGGAACATGAAGGGTTACATGTGTGGGCATCTCTTCCAGCACAACTGTAGAGTTTCTACTTAGCCAGGTAAATCTGGTCCTCACTGTGCCTCTGGCATCAGGGGGAAAATTAACCAACTGTCAAATAAAATACAGTCAACCCAGTGGATTAAATGACTAATTCTCTGTGTCCCGAGCTGCTCAGCCTCGCCTCTGGTAACTGCACCATCTTGGACCAGATGCACTGTGGCCTGACTCCAGGAATGAAATTTTACATTCTGCTGAAAGGGTAGCCAGGCTGCTCAAGAGGAAAAGAAGATACTAATTGTAAATCTTTTCTATTTTTAGGCTCAATGTGCATTTTGTTTGGCAGTAAGGGCAGCATGAATAAAACTCCAATCCTAAGAATTTTAATTTGCCACCTCCAAAATGCCCGAGTCAGTAGAGATCTTGGAAGGTTGCATCTACCCTTCCCCTGCCTTCAGGAAGAACCCCGCACATCTACATCTGCTCGACAGAAAAAAAAAACAAACCCTAGAATAACCTCCTCACTCACAGAAGTTCGGTATCTCTTTAAATATATGTAATTTCAAGCACAAGATTCCCATAAAAAGATTTTGCAGAATAACTTCACTGAATCATTCACTTCACAAAGAGCATTGCAATATTTCACCTATTTTCTCATTGGCTTTTATAGCTAGAGTCTCATATTTGCCTGTAAATCCTTTGTTTCTTTAATTGTATCTGCTGTTGCTCACCTTATATTCTACCTGAAAATTTAAGCTTCTTAAAAGCAGGGACTAGAGATATTTTATAGTGTATGTGTAGTATATAGTATATACCCCATAAAATATATACACATATCTCTCTCTCTCACACACACACACACACACACACACACACACTAGCACAACCTCAGTCAATGTTCTTAAAAAGTAGACCTCTCCTTCAGCACAACCACCAAGAGAAGACAGAGTTGTCTTGTCAGCGTGAAATGACTTGGTTCTGAATAATGTCCTCTATGAACATTATCACTGCTCCTCTGGCCATGTCTCTCACTGTTTTAGCAAATCATAGTGTTCTTCACCTTTTTAGAGTTTTCCTTCCCAAGAAGGCTCTGAAAAAAAGCTCTGGGCCCTTAATCCAGAAAAATGCTCACATCTCCACATGCACAAAACACTGTCTCAAATTCCATGGGGGGTAGGAGCCCCTGATGGCCCATGGCATCTATTAATAACTGCTTCTCCACCATGTCTTCCTTAGTGTCAGGCTCTTCCCTTGTATGTTATTTCAGATATTTACACAGCTCAAGCAAACACCTTGAAATCCTCCTTGCTGCTCCCGACCCCCTGGTTCAGAGTTCAGGCTACTGCACAGAACAAAAGTCACTGCTGAGAAGAAAGGTAGAGACAATCAACTCCTGGTCCGTTCCCTGGAAAACCAGGCACTGTTGTCTCAAATGAGGTAATTATGCTCACCTTTTGGTCTTGGCTGTATGCCAGAATCCAGTCCTCTTGCTTGGGGTGGAAAAGCAAGCTCTGAATGTAAAAGTTCAGCCGGTACTTCTGATAGGTGGCCCCTTCATCTGAGCTGATCAGTAAGCTGCTCTCAATCTCCGGGTCTGTGAGTAACATGATCTGCAGCCGAGAATTGTTGGGGAAAGAAGACAACAAAACATTAAGTTTCCAAACTTACAAAAACTAAAGAAGGGAGCTAACAGTTCAGTAAGACAGCAAGAAGGACTAAAGAATGCTTGGCTAAACAAGGACATTGGCTCTGTTGCTTTGTTCTCCTGGACCAATGCCATGAAACTGTTTTCACTAAAAAATCAAAGAGGCAGACAAGCTGGAAGGGAGAGGAAAGAATGAAGTGCATTTTACTGTCTTCTATGGGTCTCCTTGTATTTTCTCAAGGTTATGTCCTTAATCTGAAATATGCCCTACTGTTCCCCTAACCTCAGCCCTCTTTCCTACTGGGCCTGTCTACTTTCCATTCAAGACTTGTCATAGTCTGCTGTGGTTAAGGTGGAAAGAAAGAGAAAGAGGATGGGGCCCATTCCTTTTTTCCTCTAATCATAAGCCCTCTTATTCACACCAACAATATTCTGTGTCCTCCTACCTTTAATCTGATTTTCTGAGTCTTGACTCAAAGGCTGAGCTTTCTTTTTTTTTTTTTTTAATTTTTTTTTTTTTCAACATTTATTTATTTTTGGGACAGAGAGAGACAGAGCATGAACGGGGGAGGGGCAGAGAGAGAGGGAGACACAGAATTGGAAACAGGCTCCAGGCTCTGAGCCATCAGCCCAGAGCCCGACGCGGGGCTCAAACTCACGGAGCGCGAGATTGTGACCTGGCTGAAGTCGGACGCTTAACCGACTGCACCACCCAGGCGCCCCAAAGGCTGAGCTTTCTAAATCCCCCTCTGGAAATTGTATAAAGGCCACATTTTATCACCTTTAAACCTATTTTATAATTTGCTGATTTATTTTGCTTCTTATCTACATACTCCCTACTAGTACATCAACTCAATGAGAACAGGGATCTATGATATTCCTCTCTTTTTCTCCCCCACAAGTATACTCCCAGCAGCTAGAGTAAGGCCCAGCGTATTTTATAAACTCAGTGAGTACTTTCCAAATGAATGGATGAATAAATAAATGGATAAATGAATGAATGTATACATGAATGAATGAATGAATGAATAGAGTTTTCAGACCAGTCACGTCCAATAGAAAGATGCCCAGAATAGTTGGAGCAGATATGAATGGAAGTGCCATGGAAAAGTATCGGATGTTCTTCTCAATCTTTAGCCTACTGACCAAGAAATATGCTTTACATGTATAAACACTCACAGCTTCAGATGCTTTGTCCTTTCTTGTGAGGATGGTTAACCTTGGCCAGAGCAGTGTGAACAATCCACAAGAGCAACAAGATGGAGGGGCTGCCCTGAAAACGGACTTTTATTCTCTCATTTTATGCCTCTAGGAATGTGTGATAAAGTACCTCATTCCTGACTCTCTGCAGGTCTCCTTTCACTCAGTCAACGTGCACACCTAATGCCTCCAGACAGGTGGCCTTAATGCTACCCATTAACTTGTTCCTCATCAACTTATTAATTGGCACTTTCTGAGTTTGGTTCAGAGAAGCATGAAAGATATGCTTAATGTGTGGTCATATGAAGAGAAATCACTGCAGCCCAGGGTTTAAAGACTGCCAGCTGAGGACGCAGCAGTTCCAGGAAAAGAAGAGAGAGGAAGGAAAAGAAAAAAAATAGGGTCATGTCATAAAAGATCAAACACATGGGGCTTTCTCAAGCGTGCGGAGGCAATCATATTAAAACCTCAGAATAGTCAGCGTCATCTTTGCAAGTGGTGTCCTGTCACCGCCAATGGCACATGACCACCGCACGCCAGACACACTCAGCCTGGATTGTGTTTCTGTAACCCAGGATGAATTTAAAGCTCCTTGCTATTCCTTCAACCTGCCCTTGTTGAAGGAGAAAAAGGGATGTGGTGGAGTAAGCGGGATGCTGTGGCCGTCAGCCACACTCTGCACAAGATGAAAAGCACACCTAAAACTGGAGACTAATTGCCTCCTTCCATGTTCCGGGGAAGCCGCTGTCCACCAACCAGAAATTCTGACAAAGTTACATGGGCCTCTCTGTCTTGCACTCACCAAGCGGACAGGGTTCCCTCATCGGATGGCGGAGACAGAACCGCCAGATAATTGACTAAGTACAAGTCACGTGGCTTCATTAAACTCTACCTTATGCACTAAGAAAGGACATTCAGATGGTTCCTAAATTCACAAGAATACTTGCAGGTGATTTCATATTTATTGGCACATAAAAGCTGTCATTTTCCAAATAACAAATAAGTCATCAAATGATCGTACTGCTTTGTGTCTCCAACCACAGTCGACAATAATACATAACAACCTTTCGGCTCTACTGCCAGAAAGTAATTTCCATGATAGTATGAAGAGGATCGATTCTGTAGAGCGGCCATTGTCTCAGGCAAGGTGATTTTTTTTTTTTCCTCCTCTGACTTTCTATTTCCCTGTCAACCAAAATATGTTTTCCTTTCTTCCCATGAGAGCAGATTGCACCACCTGCTTCCCCTGGCAGACTGTTTCACCAAAATAAAAACAGTAAGCCTACAGAATATCCTCAAATCAAGCTGATTTTCATGTGTCATCTAAAATATTTTTGAGACTCACTAATGGTGTAAGTCATGAGACCATATGAGATATTCCAGATAATACTGGCTGAGGGGAGATAGAATAACACAAGCATCTTCAAACGCAAGGATACTTAATATTAAATAAACAAAACACCTGACCCCTTTGGTTTTTTATTCTGAATGCTAAAAGTATATAGACCCAAATCTCAGCTTCTCTCTCCAGTCCTCACCTGAAACCCTATCTGAAAATCTGACATTTTGGAAATGATGGAAGATGTCAGGAAATTCTCCCCTGGAAGATTTATAGATGTATCTGTATGACACAAACCTTCCATTGGTTCCTCTCTCAAATCTCTGCTCAAATCCAGGCAAAACAAACAGGTCAATCTGGACCCATTTTTATTTAGCCATTTTTTATTGCACAAACAACTTTGTAAGGCTGCCAGAAGAATTTAAAATAAAAGAAAAATAAATTGCTCATGACCCTATTCCTTGAACAAGTCAAACCATGTGTGTGCTTCCCTCTACTTCTTTATTCGCATCTATATATAATATCATGGATGTAGTGGGTTTTTCCACTTAATATAATGGCCTATGTTCATTTCTAACTGAAGCAGAAACACACAAATGCATATCCACACACGAGTATGTACCATTGTGTATAAAATATTTCAATTACTTAATCATAGCCTTCAACATAATTAGGTTACAATCAGTGCAGTGGTTGAGCAGCGATAAGTACTTGACAATTTACTGTTAACTGAATACATAGAATCCTATTATTTCAGTCATTAAATTCATTTTTTTTAGTAATTTATTCAAATGGGTTGAGGTTTATGGTGTCCTTTTGAAGGTTATTACAAGTAAATAAGTTAAGAAGTAAGTAATGAATTTAAGCAGCATCTAAATAGAAAAATGTTTAACCTATTTGAGAAAAAGAAACAATGTAAAAATAAATGTGATCCAATCTTTAGACACAAACGATGGCATTTATAAATAAAGTCCTATCTTCTCAAAAAGGTGTTCTCCTAGGAAATATTATCAAAATAATACCTTCAAGTTACTTAATACTCCTCAAAAAATAACAGATTGCACTTCTTTTAACTTTATTTATTTTGAGAGGGAGAGAGAGTACATGCCTGTACATATGAGTAGAGGAGGGGCAGAGAGAGAGGGAGACAGAGAATCCCACTTAGGCTCCACTCAGTCAGTGCAGGCAGAGCCTGATGTGGGGCTCAAACCCATGAACCATGAGATCATGACCTGATCAAACATGAACCATGAGACCATGACCTGAGCTGGAATCAAGAGTTGGATGCTCAACTGACTGAGCCACCCAGGTGCCTCAACAGATTATATTTCTTAAATATGTTCAATGATCCCTGTTTTGCTGGTTTATGCTGGCTCTCTGGCCCCTTTTGGCTTTTAATGTTTAATCCTCTGCATTCTAGAATAGGATCATAATGAGGGAATTTTAGGAGGACTTTGTAAAAGGCATGAATCTAAACTTTGTACAGTTCCTCAAGTCAGTTCTCTAACCACAGAGGACCCTGTTTGGCTGGCATAAAGCTTGGTCCATAGCAGGTCCATAGATCTTTGTAAATAAACAAATGAATGAATAAATGAGTGAGTAAATGAGTAGGTTCTTTTCACACCTGACTTTGGCTGAATGCAGTCCATGGACCCCAGTGACATTATGAGTCTGAGTCCTCTCAAACAAATCCTTGCTCTTGTACTTGGAGGTAAGGACGGTAGAGACAAGGGGAAGAGCCTGTCTTTAACAGGAGAGTAATTATTCTCTGTTCAGATCAGCCCGTGAATGATTAGAACCAGTTTACGTATGCCTTGCTGGGTGTGCACACACACCACGCTGACTGCATCTGTAGATGAACTGTTTTCCATAGAAAGTCAATAACAGTGACACAGGCTCCCGCCACCCAACCCTAAGCAATCATTCATCATCCACTTTGGGAGAAGGAAGAAACTTTATTTGCTTTTCCTAGAGGTGACAAATGAACACAAAATACAATTTATAGATTTAAAATATGTCACTTCTCTCTTTTTTTGGTATTAGTCCTTCTGACAACTCAGTGTCATCAGAAATTAAATACATCTTTATTCTCTTTGACTTGCTTCAGACTCAACATATGGCTACATGATGCAATTCTACAAAAGTCTGCCTGGCAGCCTTCTGATTCTTCCAGGTGCCTACTGAGGACATCCCCCTACTATTTAGTTTTCCAGATTCTCCTAGATGTGTTGTTCTTGGAATCCATCATTTACCCATTTAGACAAAGTGGTAGTTAATAAGGGGCAATTTCACCACCTCTAGGAATACACCTGTTTCTACCATTCCTCTGGTCCTAAAGCACAAAGTATTTATTTTAGGTGTTCACTATTTGTTTGCTCATTTGTCTACTCCTTGTCGTTCATGGACTCTAATCTTGAAGAGGTAAT